GAAACGTTAACTCTGTTTTCTCCTCCACAGATGCTGCCAGACCTGCTGAGCTTTTCCAGCAACTCTGTTTTAATTCTGTCCTTGTCAATGAAGGCCATTGCCTAAGAATTTTTTTTAGCAATTCAAGAAAAAGAGATAAAAGGTGACAGTTAAGCAATGCTAGGAGGTATTTGCAGAAGGGAAGAGCATAAAGTGACAATCAGCAAAAAGGGCAGGTAGGTGGCTCCCAGTAGGTTTATACCCTTTTCCTGTTGTCACGCCTCTCTGTCAAGTGCCTTTGAAGGAAGGACAACCCCTGGAGGCAACAAGCAGCCTGCACCCACTTATTTGTCATATGGCAACAGGTTAATGCCAGCAGTTTTAGGACGAGGTACTAATGTGGTTAGTAACTTGCAGTGGGACAGGAAGGGTGACAAAGCCTTCCAGTCCCAGACTTAATCAGGGTGGAGACTGAAGATTTACAGTCACCCATCCTCTGACCCAATTAGATGTCCTCCCAGCCTCCAAAAATTCCACTGGAGAGTAAAAGATTTTGCCCCAGTTCCTCGTGCTGCAGGTTAACAATTCGAATATGCTCAGCAGTTGACATCTTATTCAAAAGGAACAAGGGAGGCAAATGCATAATGTTGGGCAAAAAAAAAATCACTTCTGTATTTAAGAAGTGTTGTTCTAAGATTTCAGATATTGATTTGATGACCTCTGGGAGCATGGCTCCCTTCTGGGGTATCAGCATATTTATACTTACACTCATATGTTGAAATTAAATAGTCTGCATCTAACATGGGCTCTTTCTAATACTGGTGCCAGAAATGTAAATGTGTTCTAAGTTCATATACTTATTAATAATAACTCAGTGAATTTATGGTCATCAGGAAGTGAAAATTACATGATAATCAATGCATTTGTTTGATTAGTAGTGATCTCATATTTTCTCATGATATATCTTATACAAAGTGTCCAATGCTAAAAAAAGACATTTTATTCCACATTACAACCTGAAGAGGTAAAAGCAGATTTGAAATAATATTGAAATTATTGAAGTAGGTTGTAATACTTCCTTACCATTGTCATCACATGAGTCAGACTGGAAGGAATTGAGTGACTGCACCTCAGAATTGCTACCTTTTGTACTTCCAGTAAAGCCCGCTGCATCCTCAATAATGTCCGCTTTTCCTGAAACCAGAAGATTCAACACTGTTCATAAGGATTCTTTAAAAAAGAACCAAAGCTTGAATTTAAATAGTGTCTTTAGCATATGGCTGGATTTTCCAAGGAATGGCACTCAGATTCAGATTGCCAATTCCTAAGATTTTTTTAAATCTTAAGAATGAGCTCCTTGTTTCTGACAGGTGTTTATGGTCAGGGTTTCTTCAGAAATGTAGAGCACACTTTAAATCCTACTATTTATGATTTGTAGCCTTTCTCACAGACTGACTACAGTTTGGTGTTGCTGGGCAGGGGGTGGGGGTCTGTACACTATCCTGTCAATGTTTCTATTTAATTCACTCATGGGATGTGGGCATCGCTGGCTGACCAGCATTTATTGCCTACCCGATAAATCTGACATCACAGCATCATGGATAGTTATACGGACCACTCCTATGAAAGCATGCAAGTTAAGTGTGAAGTTAGGGTTAGGATTAGGGTTCTTACAGTGGTGGGGCAGGAGGTGGTATGTGGGAGGTAGTGGGGGACATTGGTAACGGGTGGTAAGGGCACCCTGGTGATTGCTGGTGGGGAGGTGCTGGTGATGGAAGTGGTGTGGCTGGGGGTTGTTGGGTTTGTTGGTGGAGGGAGGGGGTGGGAGTTTTGACCGGTCCTGGAGGTCGAGTAAAATGGGGTGGGAGTGTGGTGGTAGGACTCTGGGCAGAGACAGGCAATGTTGGAACAAGGCGGAGGCGGGGTTTTTGGGGGGTGGGGGATTCAGTTGCATTGAAAATTAGAAAATCAAAGGTAAACAGGAGGATAGGATTTCAGGTTAGTTCTGGGACTAATTGTTACTGAAAATGAGAGGAAGGTACAGAAATGTGTGAATGTCACATTTTCACCAAAGAACCATAAAACAGTAGGGAAATTCAATAGTGGAACAAGGCTTTGTACCTTAATGCGTGAAGCATTTAGAATAAAGGCAGATGAACCGAATGCACAAATCAAAATGATTTAATACGATCTCATAGACATTACAGAAACAGGGTTACAAGGAGATCAAAACTAGGAACTTAACATTCAGGGATATTTGTCCCTTTGGAGAGACATTTGGGGTGGAAAAGGTAGTGGGGTAGCACTATTAATAAAAGATAAAATGAGCACAGTGTGAGACAATCAAGGTTCAATGATGGAGAATTCATCTGGGATAAGGTAACAAAACAGCAAGGAAACAAAGAAAAAAAATCTCATTCTACCGATGCCCATGAAACCATTACTGATTGAACATGTGGCTCATTAAAGTCCTTCAGGGAAGAAAATCTGGCATCCTCACATGGTCTGGCCTACATGTGACTCCAGAATCATAGCATTTGGGTGTGGAATGCATTGCCGGAGAGGGTAGTGGAATCGGCCTCTTTAAGTGGCTATTAGATAGGCATATGGATGATAGCATAAGGTAGGGGTGGAGGTTAGATAGACCTTAGGTTTAGGTGAAAAGTTTGGCACAACATCGTGGGCTAAAGGGTCTGTACTGTGCTGTACTGTTCTATGTTCAATGTGGTTGACTCTCAACTGCCCTCTGAAATGACCTAGCAAGCCACTCAGTTCAAGGGCAGATAGGGGCAGGCAATAAATGCTGACCAGCCAACAACACCCACGTCCCATGAGTGAATTAAATAAAGACATTGTTTGGAATAGAGTACACAACCTCGAACACTAGCCAGTCTGTGGGAAAGGCCACAAATCAACAAACAGTAAGAGCATGTAAAAAGAATGGAGGAACGATTATGAGTGACTTTAATCTTCACGGTGATTGGATTAATCAAATTGCAAAGGACGGTTGTGACAGCAAATTCATGGAGTGCACTAAGGATAGTTTCCCAAAGCAATGTGTCACAGAGCCAATCAGGGAGCATGCTATTTTGTATTTTGTAATGCGTAATGAAGGAGGTTTAATAAATGACCTCAGAGTAAAACGTTCCCAGGGAAGTAGTGATCATAACATGATAGAATTTAATATTCAGTTCAATGGTGAGAAACTTGGGTTGGAAACAACTGTGTTATTTTAAATAAAGGGAATTATAATGAGGTGAGGATAGAGTTCACTAAAGTGAACTGAGTAAATAGATTAGCAGAAATGAGAGGAAAGTAATTCATGATTCTCAGCAAAAGTACATCCCAGTAAATAGGAAAGATTCTAAAAGAAGAATAAATCAATTATGGCTAAGAAAGGAAGCTAAGAAGAGTAGCAATTTGAAAGAAAGAGCATATAATGAGGGCTAAATCAGTGACAGTCCCAAAGACTGGGATAAATTCAAAATCCAGCAAAGGAAGTCTAAAAAGTTAATAAACACAGAGAAAAGAAATGACATGGGTAAACTAGCATGGTGTCTAAGACCAGAAGGCATAAATTTAACGTGAGGAGTAAGTGGTTTAGGGAAGATCTGAGAGGATTGTTAAAATGTGGCACATGCTGTCTGAGAGGGCGGTGGAGACAGGTGCTCTTGCAACATTTAAGAAGCATCTGGATGGTATTTTACATGCCGGGGCATAGTAGACTATGGACCAAGTGCAAGCAAATGAGATCATTTAATTTAGTATTTGTTGGTTGGCATAGATTTGGTGAGCTGTAGGCCCTTTTTCTATGCTGTATGACTCCGTGCTCACTATGAATATTAAAAATAACTGACAAGAAGAGCTTCTATAAATATATCTAAGTAAGACAGGGGTCAAAGTAAACATTGGCCTCTTAGAAAATAAATCTGTGGAGATGGTTATGGGAACAAGGAAATTGCCAATGAATTAAAGATATTTTGCATCAGTCTTTATGGTGGAAGATACTTAGAACATTCCATTAATACTTAACTAGGCATGGGAGGAATTAAGTACCATTATGATCAACAGAAAAATAGTAAAAAGCAGTACTAGACAAACTAATGGGGCTAAAGGTAGATAAGTCCTTTGGCCCTGATAGCTTGCATCACAGAATCCTAAAAGAGGTAGTTACAAATACAGTGGATGCATTGGATGTAATTTTCCAAAAATCATTGGATTCTGGAAAAGGAATTCGGGAAAATTGCCAATGTGACACCCTTATTCAAAAAGGTAGAGGGGTAAAAGGCAGGTAACTATAGGCCAATTAGTCCAATATCTATTGTTAAAAAAAATTGAAATCAATTATCGAGGAAGTGATAGCAGAACATTTGGAACATTATAACGTAATCCAGCAGAATCAGCATGACTCATGAAAGGCAATCATGTCTGACTAAGGTTTTTTAAGCATTTTTTGGGGAAGGCTCAACCAGAGTGCATAGAGGGAACCACTGTATGTGTTGTATTTGGACTTCCAGAACGTGTTCAACAAGGTACCTCAGATAAAGTTAAGTCATAAGGTAAAAGCCCATGGCTTTGGAGGTAGCATATTGACACGGATAGCAAATTGGCAAATTGGCATGAAACAGCACGCAAGAACAAGGGTTTTTTTTCTGCTTGGTGACTTTTGACCAGTGGGGTTTCAAATGGATCAGTGCTGTGACTACAACTGTTTACAATATATATCAATGACTTGGAGGAGGAACGTGAATGTACTGTAACCAAATTTGCAGATGACCCAAAAATAGGTGGAAAATCATGTTGCGAGAAGAAGACAAACAGTTTACAGAGATATTGACAGGTTAAGTAAGTGGGCAAAAAGTTGGCAAATGTGGGAATATGTGAAATTGCTCATTTTGGAAAGGAAAACAAAAGAATAGTATTATTTAAATGGTAACAACTACAGAAAGCACAAAGGTGCAGTGGGTAATTAGGAAGGCTAATGGAATGTCAGCCCTTAGTTCAAGGGGTAGGAGGAGGGAAGTCCTATTGTAACCATACAAGGTGCTGGTAAGATCACATCTGGAGTACTGTACGTAATTTTGGTCCCCTTGTTTAAGCTGCTGTTTCATTGGGGGCAGTTCAGAGAAGGTTCACTAAGATGGTCCCCAGTATAAAGGGCTTGTCTTACAAGCCAAGGTTAAATAGGTTGGGACTGTACTCTCCAGATTTTAGGAGGAGAGCTGATTTCATTGAAACATACAAGATTTTTAACGGCTTAGCAGAGTAAATGCTGAGAGGATGTTTCCTCTCATGGTTAAGGAGCACCAATTTAAGACAGATGAGGAGGACTTGCTTCTCTCAGAGGATTAAGTGTCTTCGGAACTCCTTACCACAGAGAGATGTGGCATCAGAATCCTTGTGTAGAATTAGTGCTGATGTAGATAGATTCGAGATCAGTATGGGAAGCAAGGGTTATGGGGAAAAGGCAGGGAAGTAGACATGAGGAGTGTTAGATCAGCCATGATCCTATTGAACAGTGGAGCAGGCTTGAGGGAGCTAATGGCCTACTCCTGTTCCTATGTCTTATGGTAAGTACTGGGGACTGCAGAGAATCGGAAAGGTATAGTTGAGGAAACAGATAATTTAAGGGGCTTAGGACATAGTGTAGTTACAGGAGTGAATACTAGAAACAGGCACTCAAGGCCTTTAATTTCTTAATTTCTTCTCTTTGGCTGCTCAGATAGGTTTCAACTTATTGTGACTTCGCTCACTACAGCGCAGGCTGCCAATGTTTCAATCCCAGAATCAGCATTTCTCTCCCTCAAGAGAAAAAGTTTCTAGGCCGTCAATGAGTTAGGAAATCCAATTAAGTTAGAAAAAAACGGAAAACACAACTAACTGATAGGCCTCCACAATTAGGCATTATCCCAGGTGAGAACAAACAAAAGGAATGCTTTGGAAGATACAGCTAATCCTAGAATAATTGACTCTTTTTGTTTACATGGCATTCAATAACACTTTTGAAAATAATGTCACTTGCAAATGAAGTGTATCTAATATAAAACAGCTAATTTTGTGTACGTGATAACAGAACTTAATTATGAAGCTGTGTCATTGCAGACTGTTCCAGACAGTTGCAATCACTGAATGGATGCAAGGAAAAACATAAGTACTGCAAAAGGAAAATATCTGGGTAAATATTGTCACCTTAATGCAAGATTTGTAGCTAATTAGTATAGAATCAAAGACATATTTAAAATTTTCCCTTGTTGGGGGTATTTAGAGATAACAAGAGCAAAATTATAAATAAGACAACTAAATACATGAAGAACACCTTAGCCTGAAGGATAATGTGTTCATTACCAAAGAAATCTTAGTATCTACATTTATTGATAAGGAACAAGGTTGATTAAATTTTGCTTTATGGAATTGTATTTTGATTATTTTTACATCATATGCAATGCAGAAACTTGTGAACTGTTAGTTTGTCAGGGTAAAAAAGAACATTACTAATCTTTAATGTGTATTTCAATTCATAAAGACTTAAGATACCGAGTCCAGTTCTGTAACATGTTTGAGACCCCAATCCAATCATTAGATGTGGTTGTAAGTGAACTGTGAGCATAAGCATGATTGCATTTACTGAATATTTAATAAACTTACAAACTCTGCCTTCAATATTTAAAAATCTTATTGATTTTGAAGTAGAACATCTAATCATAAGTAAGAAGCAGTCTCTAATATTTCTGATGTACATTTTCAAAATCTGAAGTGATTAGATTTTATAGATACCATTTATTAACAAGACTAACAGGTTGCATTTGTTGCCTTAAAGTATTATTTTACATCTCCACGATAACAATTTTGTAATAAATAACAATCCAATGTGTGCAGTTAATCACCAAAGTTCATCTTCATTAGGTACGTCATATCTGGTTAAAGAACAGATTCCTGTAGTTTTCCGAGCCTTAGCTGACTGAGTCATGGAACAATGATGATGTCAGAGCATAGATAGCTTAAAGTAACTTGCATCTTTCCCCTAATTGAAGGAAGAAGCTTGGAATTGAGCTAGCAAGATGGGATAGATACAAAAAGGTATGAAACAAAAAGAAAAACAATTAAAAGTCAACATATCTATATCATCCGAAAACAAGACAAGATAATATTCATTACCATCTCTATCTCTATCCCAGGTATTTTTTCTTAATGAATCATAGGCAGAGACAGATCGAGTAACTGTAGGGAGATTTGGGGCCACACTGCACACAACAACGCCTCTACGTGTAGTTAGAAGTTGAGGCGATTCAGGGTGAAAGGTGCTCATTTCTTGATGCTCCATCTGCATTCCATCAATTTTGTCTAAATTGTTTCTTGAATCACTATGGAAGTATGGTGTGTATGCCATAGGCCTCACTGGCACTTGAGGAGGACCTCCAGTTTCTTGGTAAATCTTACGACTGTCACCATTATTCCTAATACCTTTGAACTGAATACCATTAGGCTTATTAAGCAGAGCAGCAGTTGCAGGGTCCTGCACTACAGTCATATTGTTACGTGCATGCTTTTTGAAGACCTTCTTTCGAAAAATTGCAAAAAGTATCACCAGTATCATCAGAACTAGTAAGATCACAGCTATTCCGATAAATTCCTCTTTGCCAACATAGGGATGTCCAGGTTGTATATTGGGCACCACAACTGGCCTGAGGTCACAGTACAGCCCTATATATCCTGAAGTACAGTTGCACTGGAATGAGCCCAAGGTATTTAAGCACGTTCCTCCATTTTGGCACTCTTCTGTGTTACATTCATCGATGTCCTCTTCACACCTACAAGAAAAATAAACATGGTTTAAATTATCCATGTCAGAAAGTCTATTCTTTGTTACATTAAGGTAATGAAGTTTACTTGTGAATTTCTCACTTAAGTTTCTCCTAGTTGGTGTTTTATTTTAAATATTTTGGCAGGACTTTGTAAATGTTCCCAGTTTTGGTTTCATTACATGAGAAACAAATTGAATCTTGCTTCGAATAATTATCATGCACCTGATAATATATCGCATGTTGCAGACTGAGATAACACGGTGTAGAGCTGGATGAACATAGCAGGCCAAAGCAGCATCAGAGGAGCAGGAAAGCTGACGTTTCGGGTCGAGACCCTTCTTCAGAAAAAAATGTTGTAGACTGTTTCCTCAATTTTTTACTGATCATTCAAAAATGGATAAAAATAATCATGTTCTGCTGTTTGATAATTGTTTATTCTCCCAGTGATATTTTTCTCCTTTTACCATGGTTAATGCAACTGATCTGGAGTCAGAATGCTCCTTGGTAAAGTTTTAAGTACATCTGACTCATTAAAAAAAAAATCCAAGAAGTAACTATTTCAGTTTCAGTCCTTTTAGCATTATTATTTCAACCCTTTCTGAATGATATGTACCAATTCAACCTGTTTAACGTGTCAATCAAATAGGTCAATTTTTAATTTACCCTTTTTCCAAATGTTTAACATGGAATTATATATTCTGATGTAATAATCTAATAATTGACTACCACCAGCTTCCTGCTAATACCAGCACTTGGAAACCAAACCAAGTCTCAAGCTGGGAGTGGAAGAAACTCAGCAATTCACATTTGTGCAACACCGTGTACATGAGAGTAGTGGTTATATATAAACTCACATCAAACCCATAAATCCTTCTTTGCAGTTGCAGGCAAAATCACTGCCTAATGGATTGCAGGAGCCCCCATTCTGACAGGGGTTTGGGAAGCAGGATGTAACTTCAATTTCACATTGGTTTCCTGTAAACTGTGGCAGACAGCTGCACTGATAACCTGTTGAAGTAGAATAGCATACATTTTAGCATATTGTACCTAAGACCTTACATTAGAGCAACACAAAATATTGCCTTGAGCAAGAAAACATGGAAGTGTAAAAAATGTTTGACTTTTAGCTTTGCCTTTCTAAGTAATACATCTATACATGTCAAATTTGTGTTTTATTTTTTCCTCCATATGTGGATCTGCGACAAGCACTTTAAGTAGCTGGTAGCAAGTATTTGTGGTGAGTGGAGGGTACAGTGATTTTTTTCTTTGTAAAGTGCCTCACTGTTGACATTATTGCTGAGATTGAAAGTGCAGGAAGTATGGGGACTGATATTAGTGAAGTTGGGAAATTTCCTGACTTGGCAGAACTCTTCTTTAATAAGTCACTATATTCTTCTCCTGGGGAGATGCAAATGGGCTGAAGTTGGGACTGCACTTCCAACGCAGCAATAGAAGCATGAGGATAGCCTGAGCAGCAATCTAGAATGACTACCTCCATGTATTTAGTCATTGACTCAGTTTTAATGATGGATGTCAGGCCCTCAGATCATCACCCCTTAATTTTCTGACACACCTCACATGCCACTATGCCCCTCATTGCTCCCAACGTCTCCTCATAGCCGGATGCTTCCTTCAAGTATACCTCCATTCTACCATGCTAATGGGCAGCACGGTGGCTCAGTGGTTAGCACTGCTGCCTCACAGCGCCAAGGACCTGGGTTCAATTCCACCCTTGAGTGACTGTCTGTGTGGAGTTTGCACATTCTCCCCGTGTCTGCGTGGGTTTCCTCCAGGTGCTCCAGTTTCCTCCACAGTCCAAAGATGTGCAGGTTAGGTGGATTGGCTATGCTAAATTGCCCGTAGTGTTCAGGGATGTGTAGCTTAGGCGGGGTATAAGGGGATGGATCTGGGTGGGATGCTCCAAGGGTCAGTGTGGACTTGTTGGGCTGAAGGGCTTGCTTCCACACTGTAGGGATTCTAATTACACTCATAATCCTCACACGTTCTGCATGTTTATATATCCTCTGAAGACAGTCCCCTAGTAAAAGATATAGTCACCATAGTCCTACCAGACCATGGAACTGCTCTCAAAAGCTTACTTTTGATTCAAGTAATACTCTCTAAAACCTTCAAAAACAAACTTGAAATGTCTATTATACAGACTATGCAGTCTCAAACTTGTTCTATTAGCTATGCTATTCATGCAGCTGGAAAGTTGAAATTTTCATCATTTTTCACTTTCACCACCACTACCATCACACCTCCAAGAATTTTGAGGTAGTATCTTTGCTGTGGTAATATCAAGGAATGTCAAGAGAATGTCAAGAATGGTCAAGCGTTTTCTTCTTAGAGACAATTATTTCCTAGTATTTTTGTGGCAATAATGTCACTTGCTATTTATTAGCACAAGCCTAGATGTTGACTAGGTCCTGCTGCATGCAATATTAACAACTACATTATCTGAGGAATTATAAATGGATTTGAATGTTGTGAAATCATCCAACATTCACACTTCTGACTTTATGAAGAAGTTCATTCATGAAGCAGCTGAAGCACATTGATCTGAGGATCATATGCAGAGCTGTCCTGTGGCTGAAGTGAACAGCATCCCACAACCATTTGCATTTTCCTTTTGCACAGCATCAGAAGTGAAGATTAAAGTTATGAACATTGCTGTTTTGGCAGAGGCCAAACAACTGACGCCTTTGCAGTCAGTACAGTAGACAGCGAACAGCTGGAGATTTTCTTGCCCATCTTTTTGACAAGAATCAAGGGCTACCCAGAGGTCTAGAGTTAATGTTAAGGTCTCCTAGGACCATCCTTTAGAATTATGTAACTATGTCCTCATTTCAAGCATACATGACCTGCCAGTGGATGAGAACATAACCAGGGACTGTCACGAAAGTGGTCAGGTATATTTGCAGAAATTGTTTCCTGACTGGTCTAAGGAGCTGTTATTCGAAATTTGACATCGATCACAAAATGTTAGTGAGGGAGATTCTGCAGAATGATCATGTTGTCCAGATATATTTTCATTAGTGTCCAAATCCACTGATTAGTTCTTTCTAGTTGTACCTTTCCCAGCAGTCTGCTACAACTGAGTGACTTAGTAAGTTACTTCAAAGGGCATTTGGGAATTAACCCATGTCTGAATTCTACATTTTAGTAAAAAGTTGGGAGAATCAGGAAGCTACACTTGGGCACCTTTCTCAGCCCCAGCACAGCGGCTATGGCAGCATGGATACTATGTATTTGATTGCCAGTTGTAAATCCAAGTTTCACAAATGCATGAGTGGAATAGATGTGTCAAAAACACATGAAAGAAAGTATCTGTCAATTGCAAAACAGTTTAAAACACATTCATTTTGGGAAAACTGCTGAAAATGAGTAGCTAAATTTTGCTAATAACTTGAACCTTTCTTTGTTTTGGTTTAAAAATGTGAGCCCAATTTTCTCCAATCCTTAAGGTTCCATTGCCTTCCATTTTATTAGACATTCCTGATAACTCAGTGAAAACCTAACTCATGTATGAGCACTCACAGTTACTATCAGCAAACTTTTCGACTGTTATCAGCAGACTCTTGAACTGAGAGGAGTATCACAACGGAGACTGAACCTGTTCTTATCTCAAACAAACATGTTCATTTCAACAGGAATACTGCTTGGTTATGAGGACAGAAATCCTTGGATCCTTTCTCTTTTTGAAGTCTGAACATTTAGGCTAAAAGTAGAATTTCCACGTAATGCTGTTGAGGACAGATAATTCTGACTGAGCTGGGAATAAGCCCTAGAACTTGTGAGCTGTATACAAAGGGAGTGGGAGAATAGAACTTAATTTGAATTATATGTACCAGCACAAATGTTTGGAATGCGCAAGTGCTATTACTGTACAATGTTCAAGTTGCAATCATGTAAGCACCAGCTGATGTAATTTTCCATTTTTTTTACAATGTTTCAGACAGCATAAATGATAAACAAAAGATTACCACTAAAATTAATTTTAAGAGTTGCCGTTAAACCATTTTGCCATATTTTTCAAAAAAAATGCAATGACTAATTTGCTCTTCATTAACCCAATTTATTGTGCTAAATATCTTTAGAATTACTTCTGCATTATGTTATTGCAATGAACATGAGGGCATGGCATTTATGGTATATGCTTAACAAACCATGCTCTCATTTAGCAATTTTTACTTAAAGGTGATTTATTCACAAACAGCATTTGTTTATCGTATATTGATTGAATGCTTGTAAAAATGTCAATATTTATAAAATTTGTATAACTTATTATTTCATTCAATGTCTGGTGGAACTTAAAGATGCAATGTAACAACTTACCACCAGATGGCTGGCTTATACAATTTCCTCCATTCTGGCATGGTTCTCCTGCACAAGTGTCTGGATACAAGACACAGCCGAGTTTCAGTTCTGTCAGGCCAACCACTTCAGCAAAGTGACTGTGCTTGTTTTGGAGTGGCAACTGGTTATCATTAAGGACAACAGAGTCCAGGCATCCTTGAAACCCACCAAGAACCTGTGCACTCTTATGGCTTAACAAGCCATGAGCAGCTGGAACCTGGGCCCCAAAGTAGATGTAGTTATCAATACTGAGTATGTGAACGTTGAAAGGAGCCCATCGACGCTCCACATAGCTGTCATCAAGTGCAAGGCTTGTAAAATTCTTGTTGAGATCCAGAAAGACAGTGTGCCAATTCCCATCGTTAACTGTTCTGCCAGAAATTCCCACAATGCCAGGCCCATTCCCACAGTCCAATTGAAACCAGAGTTTTCCATCCACAATCTGGTGAAAGTAATAAATGTGAGAGAGATGTTATTTTAATTCAAATCCAAAATAGTCGGTATCTTAAATTATTCAGAATTAATTTTCTGTATGCCTATTCCTAAATAATAAAATTGTGTCCATCATCTGTTGTCAATTAGGCCAAAGCATATTTAAAGTTGATTGCTCATTGAAACATAAATACTGAGAATAACAGAAATTTACCAACACCTTATTGTGTAATTCACTAGATTGGCTCAGTTACAAGGATCTCAATGAACGTTACATTTAACATCTAATAGGCTTGGAATCATAGGCCTGGATTTTCATCTTCAAGGCCAGTGGCAGAAGTCAGGAAAACTTCCAATGTTGGAGAAAGTGTCACAGAAGTATGGATTTTCATTTTGAGGGTGTGGGGATGAACGTGGACTGCAGTTAAGAAAATATTTAGAGGTGACCAGAGGGATTGTTAGCTATTGGGTGAACTGTTTAAGGATATCTGCATGGCAGTGTGTTGAGACTATTCCTGCTAGAATGAAAGAAAAAAGTCCTTCCAACCCTCACCTCTCAACCCCAACACACTCCCTATGTCCCATACCCATGCAACCTCCTGGGCCTTTCATGACCTTCTAACCAAAGTATGCCACCCAAAAACTCATACCCCCATGACCATTCAGTCACAATAAAGTTCATAGAAGTAATAATTCCTATAGTGACAGTCATAGGTGGAAAAAGCGGTTTTAAAAGATAGCAAATAATTCAAAACCATTTACTACACTAAACAAAGTCTGTTCCTTCCTCAGGACAATTCAAGTGGCAATCATCCAAAATCCTTTAAAGTTTCAACAACTGACATTACAAAAGCTCGAACACCTAAACTTCTGTGACTAAACATCGACAACTCTGATCATTTCTGTCAATTGCACAATCAAACAGGGCCTCTTTTTTTAAAAACATGTTTAACTATCACCATAAGGTTCATTGTTTCTACACAGCGTGCAGTGAGTAAACAGACATTGAAGCTCCATTGCGTGAAATGAGGGGACACCTTTTAAGCAAGATTTCAACTCAAGGCACTGGTAACTTGAAAGTGAAAGACCGCCAAGCTTTATTTGAGGAGTCGAGTGTTCTTTCTCTAGTCTGTGGCATTCCTATTTCCGAAAAAAAAACTGAAGACAAAACTTGCTGAGTCTGTTCTGGGGTTTATATTGACTGCAACCCAGTTGCCATATCTTGCTTTACAATATTAACTGTATTTCTAAAGTATATTATTTAATTGGCTATTAAGGTGCTTTGTTCATCCTGAGGAAGTGCAAAAAGCTAATTTACTGCAAACATGTCCTTTCTACTCCAGAAGAACCTCTTTCCGCAATGTACTGCACTCAAACCAATTGGAATGCATGTACATACAAAGATTTTGACATTACCACACTATAATTATTGTACACCCTTCAATGCTGCAGCAATTTACTTCTTTTTGAAACATCCTTTTCAATGAATGTATGATTCAAGCACGCCTAGTATGTTTAAAATACAATCTTCCTCAGATGTACAAGTACAGAGACACCTGAAGGCATTTCTCCACAAAACTTTTAAGATAGCAGCGAGGGACAGAAAAAACAAAATCACTCAAGGCATTCGTGATACTGGGATTTATGGATATAGCCACAGAATATAAATGCCTGGAAGTTTTACTGAACCTCAATCAAACACTAATGCAGCCCCAGATGGGGTACTACAAACATTTCTGATGATGATAAAGGCTTTGACGAGAGCAGAGAAGAATTTTCTTGAGTAATTCCAAGGGGGTGTATGTTACAGGTATTTGAAATCAAGAAGAGTTTAGAAAAAATTAGAGGAACTGTCTTTGTTGACTGAACAGTCAGTAACTACTACAGACCAAAGGTTTAAGGTAATGGGCAAAGGAAAAAGACTACATGAGGAATTTGTTTCTCTTTGCAACTTTTTTGGAATGCACAGTTTGGTAGAGTGATAGTTACAGGCTTAAATGCGGCTCCTAAAAGCAAGTGGGATAAATAATTGAAGGAAAAAGTGCAGGAATATGAGCAAAGAGCAGAGAATTGGTACTAGCTGAACTACTCTTCAAAATGGCCAACACAGACTTAGCAAACGAAATGGCTTTCTTTTTTGCTGTACTATCCTCTAATACAGATCTAAAAGTTGAGCTGCATGACAGAGACAACCACCATTAAAGGATAAAATCATACAGCTTCAACTTGTATTTTTTTGTTAAAGCTGACATAATTTTATATAGAATTCCTAGTATCAGCATTTTAAATTACTTTACTTTCAATAAAACACCTTTTATGTCTCAAAAGACTGACCAGGTGATGAACTTATCCATTGGCAACAATAGAATCTAGTTGCATAGTAAGGTATTTAAGTTCTCTGATGCTTACTGCAGTATCATGCCAATAATATCATTTATCCTCTGGATACTAAATTAGCTAAAAGAACATCTAAAAAATACGCAAAGAGGAATTGCTCATATTGCAGCCACTCCAGCATATGCATTTCATTTAACACAACAACAGTGCAGCAGCTGAAAGATTTAAATTATTTGAATCTGCCTGGAAAGATTAGAACAATTCAAATTTTACACTCTAGAGAAGTGGTTAAGATAGAGATCACAGTGAGGCTGCATGTATTTTTAATTCATTCATGGGATGAGGGTGTCACTGGTTAGGCCAGCATTTATTGCCCACCCCAGAGGGCAGTTAAGAGTCATCCAAATTTTGTGGGTCTGGTGTCACGTGCAGGCCAGACCAGGTAAGGATGGTAGTTTCTTTCCCTAACAGACAGGAGTGAGCCAGATGGGTTTTTCCAACAATTGACAATGGATTCATGGTCATCATGAGACTCTTAATTCCTGAGTTTTATTGAATTCAAATTCCACCATCTGCTGTGGTAGGATTTGAACCTGGGTCCCTAGGACATTTCTGAAGAAGGGTCTAGGCCCGAAACGTCAGCCTTCCTTCTCCTCTGATGCTGCTTGACCTGCTGTGTTCATCCAGCTCTACACCTTGTTATCTCTTTTCCACAGGACATTATCTGGGTTTCTGGATTAATGCCACTAGGCACCACCCCTGTAATATATATCATATGTAACATATATAAAATGAAATATATACCACAGAATCAGATTGTTTTTTCAATTAAATTGGAAGATCAGTAACTTTAGTTTGGGAAAAAAGTTAGAATAGTTCTTGGTTATTCAGAAAACAAAATATCTGTACCCATTATAGAATAAATTGACAGAGCAAAATAGAAGACAGACACCGCGCTTATTTTCAATTTTTGAGGGAGCTTCATGGTATCCAGTCTGCTATGCCTTACAGTGACAATTTCCCCTTCTTAACCTCGTTAATTATACAACTGGGCTTTTCAGTGCCCATTCTGTGAAAACACACAGTGCTCCAGTGTTCACAGTGCTAGGATCATATTTCAAGTCCAGCTGCACAGTTCAAATACTGGAATCCAGGAATTCTGCCTGCTCCACCATTATCACTGAGAAAGTGGCCTTAAAAAACGAGTTGGCTCCTTGCTTTGCAGACAAGGTGGAGGTGCTTGTGGAAAGGGTGCTATTGAAGAGGCCAGTACTTTTCTTTTTTGATTTTGATTTGATTTATGATTGTCACATGTACCTAAGTGTAGTGAAAAGTTTTGTTTTGCGTGCAGTACAGCTGATCATACCATACTAAGTGCAAAAGGGTCATAGAACAGAGCAAGAAATACAACATTACGGCTGCAGAGTAGGTGCACAAAGAATGAGGCCAACACTAGATTTGAAATTTGACAGGTCCATTCAGAAGTCTAATAACAGTGGGGATGAAGCTGTTCTTGAATCTGTTGGTATGCATGTTAAAGCTATTGTACCTGTATTATTCTGTCTGACGGAAAAGGTTGGAAGAGATTATAACTGGGGTGGGAGGGGTCTTTGATTATGTTGACTGTCTTTCTGAGGCAGCAGGAAGTATAAATGGAGTCAAGGGATGGACGTTTGGCTTACACAATGGACTGGGCTCTGTTCACAACTCTCTGTAGCTTCTTATGGTCCTGGACACATCAGTTGCCATATCAAACCGTGACGCATCTGGATAGAATGCTTTCTATGGTGCATCAACAAAAATTGGTAAAAGTCTTTACAGGCATAGAGTCATAGAGTCTACAGAATGGAAACAGGTCCTTGGCCCAACTTGCCCATGCTGCCCAGTTTTCACAATTTAAGCTAGTCCCATTTGCCTGCATTTAGTCCAACCAGACCTGTCCCATCCATATACCTGCCAAAATGTTTCTTAAATGATGATATTGTACTTGCTTCCACTATTTCTGGCAGCCTGTTCCAGACACTCACCACCCCCCGTGTGAGCAATTGCCCCTCTGGACCCTTTTGTATCTCGCCCCTCTCACCTTAAACCTATACTCTCTAGTTTTACACTCCTCTTTCATTTGGAAAATCTGTCGGATATCTACCTTATCTATGACTCTCATGATTTTATAGACCTCAGTCAACGGTTGACAACAACAGACTGGAAGGTCCCATATTTAAATCTTCACATCCAATCTCGGGGTAGTCACAGGGGTGTCACAGTTGGTGGCAGTGCCATTAGTTTGTGCAGCAGCTGTGATTCAGTGGTAGCGTTCCTGCCTCAGGATCAGAAGGTTCTGAGATCAAGTCCCACTCTGATTGAATGTTGTGGGAGTGTTGCCCTGTTGAAGGTGTCACCTTTCAGATGAGAGGTTAACCCTAGCTCCCATCTGCCTGCTTGTGTGGATGTAAAAGATTCTATTTTGAAGAGGAGCAGAGAAATTATCCCAAGTGTCCTGGGCCAGTATTTAACCCTCAACTGACAAGACAATAAACAAATCTGATAATAATTACATTGCTGTTTGTGAGAGCCTACAGTGCACAAATGGGCATTTCTTACATTATAGTAGCACTTACGCTGCAGGAGTACTTCACTGGGCGTAAAGTGCTCGACACACCTGGTGATTGTGAA